AAGCTTCCTATACAACATTTGGAACTTGTGAGTTAGTAATTATTTCAAAATAAAAAGGGTTTTATAAAAGCATTGTAAAAAAGAAACTATTTCAGTGGAAAACTATGAATTGTCCACATGTCACACGCCAGATTTATCCAATTGTTTCATTATCTGAACTATGTTCACAATTTTAAATAAGTGATAGTCATCCAAATCGCCCTGTGTTTTAGAGGCTCCCCTCCCCCCTAGACAGATTGCTCCCCAATATCACTCACACATTTATCAATAATTTATCATTCCTTTTCCCATATCAAATTGTTGGGTTGCCCCCCACCCTTTAAACAGTATGAGGGTGTTAAGCAAGTTAAATAAAATCTTTAGCATCTGTTCATTTTTATGTCTGGATGAGAGTCATAATTTACCTTTTCTGAAAATTATCTTTTCAGAACATAAATTGGTCATGTCACTCCCCCAGTTTAACTGCCTCCGAGTTTCCTATTTGTGTTTAGAAAATTTTCCACACATTTCCTCAGTACATAAGACGCTGCCCAGCCTGGGCCCAGGTTGCCTCTCCGAACTCATGTTTCCCAGAACATAACAACTACTTGCCCTAGTTCAGGCAAAGAACCCAAGTTCTGCCAGCATCATGGTACTGTGGTCCTTCCCCTCCCCCTCAATGGACGGCTCTTCTCTCAGAGGGCTTTTTCAAGAGTAAACGCCTCTTAATTCTACCAAAACAACTGCTCCACTTAGAGAGGTTTTCTCACACAACTTTCTCAAACATAACATTGCCACCTTATTTTTTAATCACGCTACTATCTGAAATACAATAGGATACTTATTATATAAATTGAGTATGTTTTATTTGTGTATTATATGAATGTCAATGTGTGTTATATACATATATATTATGTTACATAAGCATATTGACAATGTTCAGTTGTTAGTTATGTGGAAACTATTTTAAATCTAGCCGCCATCTTCTCTCTGTGCTGCCATGTTGAGACTTCTAGGTAAATCGGAATCAGGCTGACTCAGTTCCACAAAACAAGCCACTCACAGATTTCTCCATGTGACTATCAAATAGCAGCAACAACCTCCTTATCAGTGATTAGAAAAGAAATAGGAAGTTCATGTAAGTGTTATAAAATCCCCATGCTTTAGATTTTTTTGCCGGCAGACTCCAGTCTACCAATCCCAAAGTTTCAAACAAATAGTCTAAACTTAGATTAGTTCATTGTTCCATCCTTTATGCTTTGACCATGCATTGACTCCCATATGTACTGACCATAATGGAGCTTACCTTGCGACTACCCTTATTTTTAGGGACCCAAATCATAATTCTTATTCTTGAATAATCACTTTCTTGATATATTACAGTTTGATTATTTCTACATCAACTGACTCATTTGTTTATCTGCCTAACCCAATTACATAATAGTAGGATATGTAGTATTTCTCTCTTATGTCCCTCAGTGCTTACAAAGGTACCAGGCACACTGCAAGCACTAAATAAATATTTATTGAATAAATCCTGCATGAGCCATGTTTCTGAAGGTAGCAAGGTCCCCATTACTGGAGGTATTGAAGCATGCTTTTTTACAACTTGACAGTGTTGTAGAAAAGCTGAGTATAGTCTCAGTCAGAAGAATAAAAGACATTTGTGTGTCCCTTCTAGGATGATGAATCTGATTCTCTAACCACCTGCCCTTTCTGCTTTGCAATAGGAAAAGCATAGGAGTATTCCTTAGTCATTTTCCACCAAATGATAGTATGCACACCCCTGTTTCTGCTGCAATATCATCTCAGCATTAAAATGTTGAAGCTAATCAGACATTTAATTTCAAAGTGGAAGGTCATTATCTTGTCACAAAATTTTATTCCAATTACTTTTTTTTCTATTATATGAAATGAATTAAAAGTAGCACAAAACATTGGGAGATCAAACAGTCAATCAGAAGCTCATTAAATATCATTGAAATTGGTGCAATAAAAAGCATTTCCCATGGCTGAGTTATTATTTAAAAGCTATATTCTGGATGGCTCAAGGAATTGACATGCTGCCAATCAAAAAAAAAAAAAATCACCCAGTCCATAAATAGCCACTTGCCTTTTAAAAGTTCACTATCTGCTTTTTTTTGGTGGGGTTTGTGTATATGTTTTCAGATAAGAGTAAATATCCAAAAGATTTAAAGTATGGGTGTAATTACCATCCCATCAGCCCATATGAGATCTTAAAAAGAAGATATCAGTAAAGACACTATCTGATAATTTAGACTATAATTTACAGCAAGATGTTTACAAAGTGCAACCAGTGATTTTACAAACACTTCAATATATTACATTCATGTATAGCACTCAGCTAATCACAATCCCAGGCAGAAAGTAGTGGTCAATTTCAATTTTTTATTTTCTAAAGCATGATTATTAAGCACTTGATTTTTCTCCAGACCCAGATTTAAGTAACTGATAGTGGAGGATCTGAAAGCTGATCATTTTTAAATTTCTCATATTTTTCCTCTAGGAGCCCTTTTTAAAAAGCTATACTATTAATTTTACCATTCAGTTGTATAGAAATATCAATTTCTGATGTACAGAATGGCAAGTACTTTTAGTTGGTAAAATATAACAATAGAAGTACTGTTCCTACTCTCGTATGGTGTTTAAGGGATAAAATTAAAAATACAGAAGCAGAAGAGAAAACTCCAAGTATAAGAAATCATTTCACAGAACAAAAAACTGAAGAACTTCTATGCACACACTCTCTTTCTTTCTCTCTCTCTACCGCCACCCTAATTTCTTTTCTAAAGCCAGGAGTTATTGGCAAATTATCTGGGAGTAAAGTAGGAGGGAAACATTTCAATGCAAAATTCAGAACGACTTTATAGACAGAAAAGTGTGGGGAGGTTTGTTATCATTTATTTCCTCCAGTATATCATTCAATTTCAGCTGTCTCACTCTCAGAAGCAGCGCCCCCATTTCTCACTTATGCGCCTAAGAAACATCTCCCTGGCATCTCATTCTCTCTCCCTGTCTTTCACCACCGCATTTCATTATTTCTTAACTGTCCCTCTCATGCCTGTCTCTCTTCTTCCTAGTGACCCACGTGTCCTCATTTAGCAGTTTTCAGAAGCCGGGGAGAAACGTTGCAAATAATGTTAAATATGATTAATATCTTGAATTCCTTGAAATATGACATGCATGAGTTACAATGAAACCTCTTTTATTTCCCCATGAAATGCTTTTGCATAATGAGAAAGAAAATGTCCTCTATGCCCTAATCAGCCCTGACAGTTCCTGGACTCCCAAATACTTTTATTTATGGCATTATTTATTTCATCTCTAATAAATGGAGGGAGGAACCACAGTAGATATGAGATGCTGCAGGAGAGGGGGGACTATCTATGGTAGAGAAACACAGAAGCTGAACCAAAGTCTTTAAAGGTAGTGGGATCTGGGAAATGAAGCCCAAGAACCTGAACCCATGGAAGAAAATGGGTTACTCTCCTAACACGAAAAGGAAAGCTCTCAAAACGGACTCTACTTAATACATCAAGAAGAAGCGCCTATAATTCCACCCAGAGAATAAAGACTCAAGATGGAAACCAAACCTGGAAGGAAGGATGCTGGTATTGGAGTTGGTCTAGGGCTGAGGTATTTGTTCAGAATGACTGGGAGAATCCAAACCACTTCTTGAGACTGGAAAATATTGCTATTCCATGGAGATCCTTCTCCAAACCAGACTTGTGTGTCTTCCCAAAAGTCCAGCCGGGTAGCCCCAGATGCATCACGGAGCTGCCTAGTCATGCAGAGAACGAGGACTCTCAGGCACCTCAGTCCTACAAATGCATGTACACATTAAATATGTGCCAAGTGACACCGTTGAAAGCTTTCAGTCATCTCAAAGGGGTACCAGGTGATAGTTTTTTTTGTTAACAGCACAGAAAATCTACGGGCTCTGAGAAGATGCTAGAGTTTGAATTCAAATTACGTGGATTTATCTCTTCAACTCAGTCACATTCCCCAACTATCTGCCTTTGGGCACTTTCTATCCGCAGCCTCGGTTTTTCTAATCTGCTGAATGGGGGGAATGACTGTTATGCACTCTCCGGGCCCCTAGGGGGAGCTAAAGTAGTAATTTGAAAGTCCGACGTCTCGCGCGCTCTCACGTCCAACAGCAGCTCGAGAGCCACGAGTTCAGTGAGAGTTGGGACCCTCGGGGCGTGCAAACTCCACTCAGCGACCCAAGTCCAGACCTTCTCGGATCACCTCAGAAAACTGGGTGAGCAATCCCCGATCACCAGAAGAACGGACTACATCTTCCCTAGGCACAGACGCACTCCAGCTACCCTGCCCCGCCCCTCGGTGCAACCTCAGGAGTTTGAGGTCAAGCAGGGGGCGCCTGGCGCACGTTTCTGGACTCCGCCCCCAACAGCTCAAGCCTCAACTCCTCGTCTGGGCTCCGAAGTCTCGTCCTGGCTGAAACCGGCGTCCCCAGCTCTTTCACCTGAAACGAGGGCGCCGTCCAGGTCGGGCTCTCCCCTTTTTAACCCCCCACCAACCCCAAGCCCCC